TTAATTAAGAACTGTGCGATAAAGATGGCAGAAGCTTTCAATGAAAATAAGGTATGAAACAAATTTCAAACAGTGCCCCTTTCAAAACAGACTGTTACTATGAGGCTGGAAGATATTAGCAACCAGATATCTAACAATGTGAAAGACATTATTGCTGATTGTACCCATTTCTCAATTGCACTCGACGAAAGCACAGATGTTTCGAATACTAATCAGTTGCTGATATTTGTTCGTGCAATTAAGGAAGATTTTACAATTTTCGAAGAGTTGTTAAAAGTGTGCTCTTTACACAGCACAACTAGAGGAGTCGATATTTTTAACGCTGTTAAGAGTGCAGTGGAGGGATTCGGTGGTTTTGAAAAATTGTCCCCCGTAGTAACAGATGGCGCTAAATCAATGACAGGGACAATAAGCGGTTTTGTTGGATTTTTAAGACAGAATCAAAGTACTGTACCTACCTTGCATTGTATTATACATCAGGAGGCTCTATGTGCCAAATCAATTAAACTGTCTACCACCATGGCTAATGTCACAAAAATTACTAATTTGATCAGAGGAGGAAATCGATCACTCACTCACAGAAAATTTCTGACCCTCTTGGAAGAAATGGATTCTGCTTATGGGGACCTGCTTCTGCATGCTGAAGTAAGATGGTTAAGCCGTGGGAAATGTCTGGTACGGTTCTTTGAACTCCGTCATGAAATAGCAACATTCCCAAGAGAAGAGGTTACAAATTCTGCTGAACTGCAGAATGATCTCGAAGACGTCGAATTCTTGAGAAACTTGGCCTTTCTCACTGATATCACTCAACACTTGAATGTCCTGAATCTGCAATTGCAAGGCAAGAAGCAGACAATATGTCAGATGGTTGGCTTTGTTGACAGTTTCCGTAAAAAGCTACATTTATTTAAGTCTGCATTGGACAAAAATAACCTTCTACATTTCCCTTGCTGTCGGAAACTGTCAGAAGAAGAAGGCTTGGAGTTTAGGGACTACAATGAAATTATTGAAGATTTGTCTTCAGAGTTCAAGCGACGATTTAACGATTTTGAAAGCTTTCGAACTGATATTTCTTTATTCAGTAATCCTATACATTGTGATATAGAATCTCAGCCAGGTCATCTGCAATTAGAGCTTTGTGAACTTCAATGTGACCCATCCTTAAACACATCTCCGGTTACTGGAATTGACTTTCGGAAACTGCTTTCACCAGAACGTTACCCACTGTTAAGAAATTGGGCTCTCAAACTTTGCCCCGTTTTTGCAAGTACTTACATATGCGAGACAGCGTTTTCATCGCTGAAGCATGTAAAGTCTAAGAACAGGAACAGACTTTCAGATGTCGTGTTATCACATATTCTTCAAGTGGTAACCTCACAATTAGAAGTGGATTTTATATCACTGGTTTCCAGTTTTATGAAACCACAGTGCTCTCATTAAAACAGTGTGTATATGAGGATTTAGGTATAATCATTAGACCATAAAAACTATGATTGAAAGACTTTTGTGCTCATCCCTGCTGAAAGAGGAATTTGTGCTGTTTTATGGTAAATAATTGCAAATTTCAAGGCATTTTATTTTTCTTTCTTAAATTATAATTGCATTTTTCCCCGGCATATATAAGGCATCATAAGGCATGATCTGGCCAGTGTTTCTTTAAGAAAAAATGCTCTGGTGGTAGAAGTGATAGAAGGCAATAAAATCGATTGGTGAAATTTTCAATAGTGGCTTAATATTATTGGTGCAACGTAAAATTTAAATACATAGGTTTAAATGCACTTGTTTTTTTTACACGGGTTGTGACTGATTCAGTTTGGGGGGCAATACTCGCCGACAACTCTTCTGAAAGAAACACTGTATCTGGCCCCTGATGGTGTTCTATAAACTAAATTTGGCCCTCGAGATGTATTAGGTTGGCCAACGCTGGTCTAGATAGTGTGGGACCCTCAACATCTCACAACCCTATGGGCCTTCATGGTCTTGTACAGGGATAGCTTTACTTTACTTTTTTACTTTTACTGCATGATCTGTAAGAAACCCAAAGCAAACCATCAATTATCACATTTTCACACAGTGGAAGAATATCATTTCAGTTATAAATATCTTTTAAAGCCCTTCAAACAATGAAAACAAAAACAGCACTACAGACAGGGCAATGACAGTGTTGGCAATGATGACAACAAACAGCACTACAGACAGGGCAGTGACAGTGTTGGCAATGATGACAACAAACAGCACTACAGACAGGGCAGTGACAGTGTTGGCAATGATGACAACAAACAGCACTACAGACAGGGCAGTGACAGTGTTGGCAATGATGACAACAACCAAATATATAACAGAATCTTTACCATCTCCATACACTGACTATTCGCAAGGAAGGACAATGCTGTAGATACTTAGGCCAAGTGAGGACTAAACTACATTCTCCTACCCCATGTGATAAGGAAGGATTGGGTCATTAGATAAGACTGTTTCAACTACATATGTTACACTGTATAAAATGAGATGGGGATATGACAAAAAGTGTGACTAGAGGGGAATTTTGAGGCAATCAGTCGTGACCTATTTGAAGGTATACTGAAAAACTCATTAGATAATGGGTTCCTTGCTTGAGAGTCAAACCAAGAATATCAAGAATATGAGCTAGATAAATTACTATATCTCTAAGATTCGGTCTGTAGCCCTTCTTGCACAATAATTTTCCAACACACACACAATTAATACGTCCTGCAATTTGTGGTCAGTTATGATCATCAATTCAAATAATCATGCAGCTGTGTTGTGGCTTTCACTACTCTGACAAAAATTAAACATTTTAAAATGCATTTTAACGGGCATATTGAGTGACGGAGATGTTGGCCCTATGGTCACATGGCCATCTGGACCCCTGTAACGACATTTAGTTGTACAGGTCATGAAGTTACATGGAAACTGACCAGTTCATTCAAAAGTCGAACAGACCGCGCTGATCAGACACTAAAGACGTTCGTATTTTGGGGGGAGGAGTAGGGTCACGTCTCGAGTCATCATTAATAAAATATACTATCAAAAATTAAAGCCAATGGAATACCTGTGCTCTAACGAGTAATAGTCCACAAACTTTGTATCAGCTGCCTATCAAAATATATCCCTCCCTCTACAGAGAACTGAAATGTAACAGGGAGATTACATGGGCTAGATGCATGTTTTGCTGCTCATTTGGAATTCACCATAAAGTCGCGTGTCACTTGGTGCTCTTGCACAAGGGCACTAACTGCAGAGCGCAATAACAGATGGGGTTGCTAATGTTAATGGTTTTTGTTGTTACAGGGAAACCATCCATACATTACATATCGTAATTGCATTTACTGTGGGTAAACTGCGATTATGCTGGCTTACGTATTGATTGATATTGATTGCATCTGTTGTGAGTGAAAGGCCGTCTGCCCGGTAACATGTCTATGCTGAAATACGTCTTCATTGCATGATCGAATCAGTTTTTGGTCTGTGATTGGAGGCATGTACATTTGCGCGTGAGCAGAGCTGGTGTATATATTGCAAATTTCTGAAAAGATAAACGTGGTAAATTAGATAAAAATCACTAGCAGTTTCATTCTGCCCACATTATGGGTTTGCTACTCGGACCATGAAAAACATATTGTATTTGGCACCATATGTGACAATAGAAACGTTCCATCATTCAGAGCTCCTTAAAATGATGTGATATAGAATTTTATCGAAGCATACCACTTATGTGTCTCCTTCAACCACGAAGACTACAAGGTGTGTCCCAAGTCATGAAATATATTTCTTTCACGCGCTCCTACTGGTCGGAGCGCGCTGGAACCGATTGGGTTACGGGGGGGAGGCCTTTAGCTTCACAGCACGCCCAAGGTCAGTCTGCTCGAGCATCGGAGGCGTCAGTATCGCTGATTTAGTGCACCTGTGTTTTGTGACCACGTCACGGCGCGCGATGGCGGATACTTTCGAACAACGTTGGGCGGTCAAGTTCTGCACAAAGCTCAACAAAAAAAAGCTGCCGAAACTCACGAACTGCTTAAGCAAGCCTACGGGGAGTCTGCTCTATCATATGTGCAAGTTACAAGGTGGGTGAAGAAGTTTAAGGAGGGCCAGGAAGGAGTGAAAGATGATCCCCGCTCTGGACGGTCATCAACAAGCCAAACCGATGAAAATGTGACTCGTGTGCGTGATTTGTTGAATACTGACCGTCGAATGACTGTCCGGTTGTTAGCCGACACTCTGAACATTCCAAAAACCGTTGTGCATCGCATGCGAAAGGTGTGC